TTTCTTGACGATAATTTTGACAGATTACTTTGATTTTTAATCGTAGATTTAAAATTCAAAATATGATCAAACGCTTTTTTTTAAGAAAATTTTAAAATATTTTCGTAAGCGCGTTATGTCAAATAACCTTTTTTATTTTGCCTACCTTCATCTTTATACTTTGATACCCTTTTACCTTTATTGTTAACACCAGACATTCTTATGAAAATAAGATTGGAAAAAAAAAAAAAATGAGGCGCATTCATTGTTAATTATGTTGCAATTAAATCCGATAAAGTTAGCCTATCATAGGGTTGGTTGAACAGAGTACAAGTCTTTAAAAGAAACTGCATTTAGATAGTTGCATAAATTCAATCCAAACATTTGGGATCGACAATGAAATTATTTTCACCCGTTAAAACTAAATGTAAAAAAATTATACTTCATAAAAATGTTTCCATTTAATGAACAAAATGCAAAAAAACAAGCTTTTGTTGATAAAGCTAAAGCCGAAAGGGAACAAAGAGAAAAACAACGTATAAAACAAAAGGAGGAGCAAAAGCTATCAAATTCCGCAATTATTATACAAAAATTTTTTCGTAAACACCTAAATAAAAAACAAAATTTAAAGAATTTACGCAACTCATGGGATATCGATACAGGTTTTTCAATCGACTGCAACAAATCAAATGATAATTCTGGTAATATCACACAAAAACGTTCAACGGAAATTCTTTTACTCGCAAAATTATTATTCGGTTTTTTCAACCCAAAACAAGAACCGTTAGATAATGTCAGGTTTTCACATTTATGTAAATTAATCTTATCAACTACTCCAAATCCCTCCCATAAAGGAGATCAACCTAATAAAATAGTTGTCCCATTTCATTTTTTATTGATAAATGAACGTTACGGAAATTCCACTTTGAATTTAATGAAAAAAATTCTTTGGCAATGTGTCGAAAGAATAATTGGGCATGTGGATCCTGAAAATAGTCAGACAAATTCTTTGTATCTTTCCGGAACTGAAATAAGACTTTTAATTCATTTTCTTAATCCTGTGAATTATGTAATCAAAGGAAATTTACCAAATTCTCCCAATTTAACGAATTCTATCACCACATTATTAAGTCAAAAATTAATTATATTTCATAATTTTCTTTCACAAAAAGGATTTTACATATTAATAGGTTCAGGAATGTCTCTTAGGGTCAATTCATTGTTAACTCTAAAATCTCGTGCAATGAAAGTAAAGCTTTCAACAGATGATGAAAAAAAATTGAATTCAACGAATTTATGGATCTTGGCTTGTATAAAGTGTTGCCTATTTTTATTAGATTCAAATGTAGAAGGAGGACATTCGCAAACATCTACAGAACAACTTGTTCAACATTATAGCGAAAAGAACAAGTTAATCATGTTTATAATTCATATAATGTCGACTCCTTGCCTTATATCTTCTTTAGATGATAGTTGTTTAGATATGTTAAGAAAATGGAATATTCCAACAAAAATTATCGAAACAATGAGTGACAATGATTCTTTATTACAAATTTTAAATGGACTAACAGGAAATGATGCAATATTTTTGATGGGAAATATCGTTGGACTTTTTTCAAAGTCAGATTTAATCGGTTTATCGTTAAGTGAAACTCCATCGAAAACAAAGGAAAATACTTCAATACGAATTCATGATTTTATCGAAATTATAACTTCTTTACTTCAACATTGTCATAAATTTGTTTCATCTAAAAAATCAAATACACATTATCAATATCATCCTATATTTAAATGGTATGCTGGAAAACACGATTCAAACATTCCAAATTCACATTTTACTTTAGTCATAACGCAGCTTGAATATTTATGGGAAAAACTTTTTATACTCAAAGCGTTTGATCATATTTTGAATTTTAAATCTACGATTAAAAATCAAAGTAATCTGTCAAAATTATCGTCAAGAAA